TTATAGGTGAGAAGTAGGAGTCTCGTAATGGGTATACGACGCAAACAAGCCATGATACGCGAAAGCCATGTAAGACCCATATAGTAATTGGGTCTTCTTTGTAGGGCAGTCAAGTCAGTCAAACGACCAAGTCGGGTTATTACAACGGGCTCGATCTCGATGGATTTGGTCTCAACGTCTAAACCACGCATGCTTGAAGTTGTGACCAAAACTCTACGAGTGGCCGTCCTTCATGGGTTCACGAGTCAAATAAGTCGAGAATTTTAGTATAACCACGGTCGTTATGACCAAGTTAAAGAATACGTAGGTAGGATTTAAGTTCTTGGATTGAATTGATATCTGATCTAATATATATCAAAGGCAAAAGAGTTATGGACAAAGTCATAGAATGACACAAAAGAGTTAGCTGACAGAATTCGCACCACCGACGACGATTAATCTAAGGCAAGGCTCCAAAAGTCAAATTCTTGCTCTCTCTCTCTCTCTCCGATCTTTGCCACTGCCGCACGCCATAAATATTCCATTCCTCTCCGATCCTTCATCATCGGATTGCAGTCTCTCGTCTAAACCTATCTCACTTGGATTAGTTCTGTAACAAAGGATAGGATGGCATCCGCGACCATCGACCGCTATCGCAAGGGTGCGGAGGTCTACAAGGGAGACTCCATATGCAAGAAGAAATCGATTGAGCTACTCGCCGAGCTCCGCCTTCCCAAGGGTCTCTTCCCTCTCGACAACGTCGAGGAGTTCGGGCACAACCGCGAAGCCGGCTTCGTATGGTTGATCCAGAAGAAGAAGAAGGATCACACCTTCAAGAAGATTAAGAGGCAGGTGTCGTACGCCCCCGAGGTGACGGCCTTCGTGGAGGAAGGTAAGATGAAGAAGATGACGGGGGTGAAGACGAAGGAGCTCCTGCTGTGGCTCTCGATCGTCGAGATGTACGTCGACGACCCATCATCGGAGAAGATAACCTTCAAGACCGGCACTGGGCTGTCGGACAGTTTCCCGAGAGCTGCCTTCGAGCTGGAGCAGTGAGGCAGGGAAAAGATGGGCGGGCATTCGAAGCACCTTAATTAATTATATTTTGATGTATTGCTGTCACAAATAAGTGTGGTGTAATTTGGATAATAAATATGGCGTGATTTGGAGTACATGCTTTCCGGTGTTGATTCCACTCAAATTTTTGGCATTCCGAGCTTTGTCATTTACATTAATATCATGACTCTCACACTAACATACATTATAATTTGATCATTGCTCTTATCTCTTTTGAGATCTTCAATTGATCAGTATCAATTGATGCGTAAGTGATAGATCTCAAATTCGAACTCACCTGCAAACGTCTTATATGTCATTTATTATAACAGATTTTTTTTAATTTTTTATAAAAAAAATTGATCGGTACTCGTAATATTGGATAAGTAGTCGAATATAATCATACAAAGACACGTCAAAACCTTTTTACTTGCATTTGTAAATATTATATGAAATGACAACAATCCAAGCGGGGCACATGTGATTCAAATTAGATGATCTACATTAGATAAGATCAAATGCTCAATCATGCTTTAATATCGAAAATATTAGAATTTATCAAAAATACCTCCACCATAAGTAGAATTTTCAAGTGGAGATCTCCTTTCGACACCTCGACTCGAAAAGGCTCGAAGCTCATAGAATGATGTCACATTGATTAGTAAAAGAAATATTAAAATTTTAGATATATCTTAGATCCGATATTAAGTCAATCCAAGCACCTAAATCCTATCTATATATTCTTTTAACTTGGTCCATAACGACCGTGGTTGTACTAAAATTATTGTCTTATTTGACTCCTGAAGGACGGCCACTCGAAGAGGTTTGGTCACAACTTCAAGCATGCGTGGTTTGGACGTTGAGACCAAATCCATCGAGATGGAGCCCGTTGCAATAACCCGACTTGGTCGTTCGACTGACTTGGCTGCCGCCGCTCGTCTCCGTCACACATCCCAAGTGCTCATCTGCATACCACACTCCCTCTCCCGGCAATTATTGACTGCCCTCCAAAGAAGACCAACTCTATGGGTCTTACATGACATGCGCATATCATGGCTTGTTTGCGTCGTATACCCATTACAAGACTCGTACTTCTCACCTATAT